AAAAAAAAAAAAAAAAAAAAAAAAAAAAAAAAAAAAAAAAAAAAAAAAAAAAAAAAAAAAAAAAAAAAAAAATCAATGTCTTCACGTGCATGAAAAACCAAATGATCAGGAAAAAAAAAATTGGCGACCATTTGATAATACATGATGTGGATATTACTGTATAATGCACAGCAGATTGGATTTATTTGGCATGCACACGGTCTCTACTTCGAGCGTACTGTAAAATCATGTTGTTATTTATATTTTGCTCGTGAAAGGGATGATAAGATATTGATCTGGGAAACCTCGGCGAATTAAACGGCACATACAATATTTATATGCGGTGTATATAAAAAGAAAGAAAGAACCTAATTTCATAAAGAAAAGTTCCAGAGTTTTTCTATTGGTGTTTTCTCATTGCCAATTACTGACCTATTCTGTACAATGCTTCACCACGGTTCATCCAAAACAATGAAAGACGCGAATATTTCATATGAATGTGTGATTGATGTAATATGACCAAATATTGAGTACTACAAGTAAGGTTTACGCCTCTGTCGGAAGAGGAAGTTATGGGTTGATGGACAGGTTTACCAACCGGATGGCAGACCGATAATTTTATTGGAATGTGGTCGCTCATAATTTCATAGGAGATTCGATATAATAATTAGAATAATTTATTTATTTATTTACCCTTTGACAGAGACACCAGCTTTATGAGATTCACCCGGGAACCAATCGATGGCCTTGAAATGACATCACATATGAATAATAAAATAAAGGTCGGTGGAAAATTATTTCTAAAGAGAGAGTGTGATAGCCAATAGTTGTCTTGAGGTAAGGTGGTGTATACGGCTCTTCTGAAATGATGGCAACGGAGATGACTTTCAGAGATAGGAATTTATTCCGATGTACCAAGCATCCACGTTTTTGTTAATAAGCGAGCATGTAAAGACACCGGACGAAATTTCGTTGCCCCTTGTTGTAATCAGCAGTTACCGTGATTTCGATGCTCCTCATTCTAAGAAGATCTGTGACCCGTCAATCAAAACGAAACAATAGAAATTTCCCAAAAAGAAAGAAAGAAAAAAATTTTAAAAATTTTTTTTTTTTTTTTTTTTTTTTTTTTTTTAATAACGATTTTCACGTTTCCGCCCGAATATTGGCACACAAATACTTTTTGTGTCCTTTTCACGAAGTGGGATCATTATATTCATTATTTTATTATTAGTCAGATTCGTAATAATGAGGGACAGATTAAAATAGGTCCTAAATTGGAAGTGCTGAAAAAAATCATTATGTTCCTGTCTTTCTTGGCCGCTACCATATTTACAACATTTTGATGCAGGTATGGCAACACTCTTCATTCAAATTTAGTTACAAACAGATTACAAACAAAATATTTATTCTTAATTTAAAACATTTTACATAACCTTTAATAAAAAAGGTGATTAACACAAGGCCATACAAGTAAGAAATATGTCATTGAAACCTTTTTTGGTAGTCGAGTATTACGCTTACCACACCTGCGCCGATTTTCAGGCCCAAGCGAATACAGCACGTATATATATTAATTTAGCCTATACGTATACGGTGCGTGAGTCACATAGATTTTTCTTTCTTTCTTCTTTCTTTCTTTTTACGTGTACCACCCACACATCAAATCAGAAGGTGAACGTCAATTTATTTATCTGCTACGTATTACATTCCTCGTATGTTCATTCACAAATCCCATTTTGGTGTTAATATATATATATATTTTTCTATTAAGAATTAATCGTTTATGGGGAGCATAAAGTACATTTAAAATAATGAGCTTCTTTAATTTATATTAAAAACTCGTGTCACTAAACAATAATTTTAGGTTGATGCAAAAGAACAAAGGTGATTCCATCTTGAAACGAAATTCCATTGTTAACGTCAACAATGAATTCCATTAGTGGCGCATTGTGGACTAGCCATAAAAATAGATGAACAGATTATTATATAGTATCTGATAAGGTTGTATATATATGCTGCGTAGTACATGTACATGTATACATACAGTATATATATATATATATGTATGTATGTGTGTATGTATATACTGTATATACTGTACGCATGTATACGTGCGTGTGTATATACATGTGTGTATTATCAACCTAAATAAAATGTTTTGATGATATAATAATGTGCCGTTATTGTTATCTTTATCTTATAATATCTCAGTTGGATTCTCCGAAGTCGCATGACCGTTTTAAACATGACCGTTCTTCTTTAGTATTAAACAAATAAGACAATAAGACTAAAACTTCTTTTGCAGATTCTAAATTCTCTGAAATAAGGTATCAGCAAGTTTATCATTAAAAAAAAAAAAGTCGAGAGAGAGAAAAAACAGGAAAAAAACCTTATTTAAATATACACACCGCATATCAATTACTGTGAAAACCACCAATGGTTGCCCATAATTAATACAGACAACATTTCATACGTATAATATACGTATAATGTTTGTTCATGTGGACAAACAATTGGTGCTAAGAAAAAAAAAAAAAAAAAAATAGAATAGAAAAAAGAGAAAAAGTTTTTTTCTTTCTTTCTTTTTTTTTAAATCGCATTATTTGTGCGTGCGTACGTGCGACCTTGACATTCTAGTTTGAGTCGATGAAACGCGACTCGGGTGGTGTGGTCGCGGTGATCCCCTTTTAACCGGATGATGAGATAACATCTTAAACAAGACACAATATAATAAAAAATTTTAATGTAATTTATTATTCCTTGATCACGTTTTATTTTATTGGATATTATAGTGAGGTGAGAATGTGTTCAACGGTGTGTTTGTGTATCTTTGCGCAAACCAATCCGCATTCGAGAAATTCGCGGAATAAACATTACACCTTCATGTCACTTTTCCTTGATAAATGATCAAATGCACCCACTTTTGTGGCCAAATCTGAAAAAGACAAAAAGGTGAACGCGTGGGAATTGGGCATCAGGGGGATTGATGGGGTCATAGTAAAATATAGAATTCCACATGTTCAGTCACAATTAAAAATATGAATATTATTTAGTGTGATGTGACAGATATATTTGTATTTTTGATCTAAAGTTGCTTGGCGTTTTCGAATAATAATATTGGTGGTATTGTTAAAGGATATAGTGTCTCCATGTATACACACAAATATCATCCGTGATAATCTCGGACCTCTGATGAAAGTACAAGAGAACGAATGAAAATCAGATTTTTTTTTTTTTTTTTTTTTTTTTTTTTTTGTGCTAGTACATTTCTTTTACAAATTTGGATTTGATAAAGGAATAAAATAAAACATGTATATAAAATCTCTTTGTGAACACAACAATTGTTTAAGGTTACGGTATATAATCGTGAAATAATTAAATTCATTTGTAATAAGAAATAGATGATTTCATAATGTAAACATAGCTGATGCTTTTCACACTTTTGGACTTATAGTCTTGCCATATTAGTTTTCCTATTCAACCAAATCTAAAGACGCGGGGCACGCTTCGGGGCGCCCCATTGTTATTTTAGTGCTGTGGGAGTTCGCGAAAAAAAAAAAAAAGATCAAATCAAATTCGCCGGTGCAGCGTGTTAGTTAAATTAAAATTTACATGCATCATCCCGAAAACAATAGAATCGAACATTGAGTTTTTCGGAGATTGTGCGAGACGTTTCATGTTTGTAGACGGTGACATTGGATCCTTTCCGTTTCCCGGACAAGGTGAAGCGCTATCACTTTCATTTTTTCCAATTTTAAAGTTTGTCATCATCACCCTTCTCGTCAACTTGGAACGTGTGATGTTATAATATCGATCAAATGTTCGGCATATTTTCCGGTCATGTGACACATAAGCGTATTGAATTTTGACAAGGATATCTCGATTGCTTAAATTCATTGTATTGCATCGGTATATGATAGGAACCGTAAAAATAAATACTTCTTGTTTAACAACTATACTCGGAAATTGTTGCCTCTCGATCGATTGAACCTGTTAATCCCTTACCACAACAGTTCAGATGGCTGATCAATGCATATACTTCTTTTGACTCGAGAACCATAACCAGTTTGTATACCAAGCTTAAACTCAATGTCCGCTACACGGAAAAATATATCGTCGCTCACTATAAAAACAATAAGCTCATTTGGTCCAAATGGAGAATTACTCTCGTTACAATTTATAAACACACGCCCGAGTGTAAATGTTTTGAAAAAAAACCGATTTGCTTTGTGAAAATGTATTGTCGAAGAAGTATAAGCATGTTTATTTGTTTTCTTATAATAATAAACCTATAAAGGCATTTGATGGTGTAGTTCAAATTAAAGATATCTCTCGTCTACAACATGTTTTCAAACGATGGAATACGCAATTATAACTGGGGGGGACATATTAACCTAACTAACCACTTGGCCATAGATTAAGCCTTGTTGAAATAAATGACATCGACCAACATCTTGTTCAGTATTACTTGACCATATGGGTGAGACAATTTCTGGACCTTTAGACATTTCTCCAGCGCAAAAAGAATGCGAAAACTCGGCTCAAGTTTTTCCTTCAATTATCATGCACTCTTATTTGTTATTTGATATTGCATTATTTTTTCGAGATATGAATTTAGGTTCGTCATTCGATTTTCAAGAGTGGGGGGTCGACTCACTCTAGACCATCATGGAGGTAATTACACCGGAGTTAGTCGACCACATCGGTTTATTACTTCTTGTTAGTTCCAAGAGTCTTGTTAAACAAATCTGTGGTCAGTTTTTCGACGGATATAATACTTCGTGAAATTCACATCAGGGCAGTATGTCTCGTTCAAACCGACACTGGTTATGCCACCATTGATTTCTGCAGAAACAATCACCCCTGGGAACCATGTATCTGTGAATTTCCTTTTTTTAAAATAATAATCACATGTGCGCAGTGCAGCTTATGGAGGTCAGTCGACATGCGAATTTAGGCGTATGTACGTGATACCTGCGAGAAAACAAATACGCAACTGACGCGATCTTATCATTCAATACTGCCGAAGTTTTGCCTAACGTATCACCTGAATTTATGTGCTATCGATAATTTCGATCATGTGACCATGAAAATGCAGTTTTGGACTTCTTTAAACTCGGTGCAGAAAGAATTATTCGGAAATCTATTTACGGTAATCTAGAATTGTTATTTTAGTTAATTATGTAATTATAATCAATAGTCGGTACAACTTTTTTGTATATTTAACATATAAAAACCCATAAAATATAATGATTGATCATTTTAAAATCCATCGTCATTAAACATCGGCAAAAAAAATTATTTTGCAAGTTATTATTTAATGGCAAATTGCTGTACATTCAAGCATAACATTCCGTTATCAAATTATATATATATATAAAAAAAAAATAAATGTAAAATAATAATAATAATAATAATAATAATAATAATAATAATAATAATAATAATAATAATAATAATAA